CCCCCGCCACCCAGTAGTCCAAGCCCTGATCTGACCGGTGTCAAACCCACGCTAGCCCTGCAATGCCCACTTGCTCTGGCTGGTCTCTGAGGGCCCTGTGATCGTCAGCTTGTAAGGAAGGAGGTAAGTGGCTTGACCTTCAGGCTTTCCTAAGCCTCACGCTATCAGACCACTTTCTTCTTCTATCCCATTCCCCACGGCCCGGTTTTCCGGCAGGATCTAGTCTGGCTCAGCCTCCTGGCTTTCACGTTTGTAAAGCTAATTCAGAGCCTTCCTCGCCAACTCACTGGAGTCACTGAGCGCTCCGCAGACATGGCTGCAGCTGCTTGCACGGAAGGCAAATGTTTTGCTCATTTAATCCATGATTCCTTATTAACGGATGAAACGGAGCTTCCAGGAAGGAAAGCCCACACACGTGTACGTCAGGCCATCATGCCTGGCGTCACTTATTAGCAGAGGTCACTAGATGCACACTGCATGCTGCTAACTATTGCTCCTTCGAGCTTCCCACAAGACAGAATCATGTGTGTGTCCTACCACCAGTCAGAAAACCGTTCACCAGTGCTTCTGGTCTCCACGGTACCACTCACGTTAAAGAATGAGCTGGCACAAAACTGTTGGCTAACGATCCAGTGGCTCTTGTGAAGGAGATGGGGCATATGATAAGTCTGATGACACCACCACTCGGTTAGGGGCTACATCTTCATTATGTGAGACTAGGGGGTCAAGTTTTGGGTCTGCCTCCTTTGCCAACTCGGGACAGAGCAGTTCCCACCAAGTTTATAGTCAAGTTGAAAACAGAGGTCCTTTCTCGCATTTATGTATAAACAGGTACCAGTTTTGACTTTATTTCATTATATTAACATACATGACACATCAAAATAAGAAATGCACAACTGAACCATTCAACAGCTTGCCTTACACCAAAAGTCACCAAAGGCATATAACACATTTATACAGTCCTCCCACCCAGCTTTAGTGTCCCACATCACCTCCCAGCATTTCTCACAGAAAAGTCTAGGTTTGCGCTTTAAAATCACCGTCCATATTGTCCTTGCAGACTCGGGGCTTCCCCGACGATTGCATGTGGAGGAGGGCCAGCCACCCGGCAGCCAGGCCACCCAGGCCTGCCTCCACGCTGCCCCCTGCTTGGCAGGGCAGTCTCGATTCCAGGAATTGATGATCTGACGTTAGCAATCAAGAACGAAAGGCTGTCCTGTGTGACTGCATCACAACGATAGGCCCCAGGAAGCCTCCAATGACGGGAGGCAGCTTTCTGCTGAGAGGAGTGCTCTCTCGTCCACACCCGGGTCCCCAGCCCTCCTGCAAACATACCGCTGGAGCTACCGCTTCCATCGTGTCTGCCCGTCGGGACCAGGCTCTGGGGGCACAGAGCTGTGACACCAAGTGACACATCAAAAAGGGCTGCGTGAGGCCTGAGAAGGTCGGATTACATCGAAGACTGACAGCTGCAACACATGCTTCTATGGGAACGAACTCCGATGACTCCGCAGGGCTGTCCCTCGGCTCACAGTGCATTGCCTCTGTCTCCTCGACCCCCGGGGCAGCGCGCTGTGTGTGCGAGACCAGCCCTGTCCATGGAGCACATCCTCCTGGTGACCCAGTCAGGCAGTGCTGAATCACGTCATTCCAAGCGGGGCTTCGCCGTCACCACAGGAAACGCCAAGTCACCGCCTAGTCAAAGCGCGGTCCATGTCTCAAACATCGAAAAACCTGAGATATAAGTCAGCAACTAGCTACCCTTACAGTAAAGAACAGGGACAACCCGCCCCACCCCGCAGAGCCCCAAACACTGGTGGCGTCAGTAAGGCTTCCAGGAGGCCCAGGCGTTGACAAAACCCGAGCCAGGAAATTTAAGAGCAGACATGGACGCGCCCTGCGGACTAGTTCCAATCACCCCGCAGCGCCAGGGGCCACGCGGGGTCCACCCAGTGAGGGGAGCTCCCAGGCTGCGAGGGCCCGTGGTCCCTTCGACTGCAGAGAGGCTGGAGGTGGCTCATGACAACGCTTTTCAACTCCCATCAGCCACGAAGCAACATCACCGAACAAGACCGGCTCGTTCATCACTTTGAATATTCCTTACTTAATGAAGTCTCCCAGCCCTGGCAAAGACTGAGGAAATTCTAGAAACACCACCCTCCTTACAGGCCGAGGGGAGAGGAAAACAGAGAGGGAGAGAGAGAGAGAACCCTAACAGGTCCCTGCTGCCTCTCCTTGGGAGCCCGTTCTCAGCATCTTTACTCCCCTTGATCTATCTTCCTGCCAACTTTCTCCCTGTAGTGGTTTTCGGTAAAATGCTGCCTTACAGGTAGCATGTCCACAAGGTGCATCCTGGCCGTGACACAGAAATGGGAACCTGGACTCTGGCTGAGGTCTCAAAGGCGCCGCTGCTCTGCTGCACGCCCAGGAAATTCACATTTGGCTGGAAAACCAGTTCATCTCTATGTAAGGGACCAACCGTCCCATTTTAAACAAGTCTTTGATTTCTACAGAGGGAGGGAGGCCTATTTAGGCCCCAGTTTCAGCTGTTTCCTGGTTCCTGGCTGTTCGATTGAACCCTAGATGGTCTCCCTCGTCTTTTCGTAAAGCTGAGAGGATGGTGGAAAGAAAACACACCAAAAAGGCAGGTACAGTCTCCATCTAGGCCCAACTGGAATTTTGTGCATCAACACTTGGGATTGGGCTGAAAAGTATGACTAGCTACCTCCCTGTTCCCAATGCTTACATAGCGGGCTCCCGGACGGGGGAGTGGGGAACCCCATCCTTACTGTCTGAGGTACTGGCTATGCTCGAAGTCAATCATGGCGAGTCCCCTAACGGTCTGTCCAGAGCACGACGCCTGTGTCGCTCTCTGCAAGCTGGCGTCTGTGGACCAGCTTCCGATGCCACCATTCCTTTTGGCTTTACCGTTAAGTTTCTGTCCCTAACAGGGTCACAGCTGACCCACAGGCTGGCTCAGTCTCAGCGCTAAGGTGCACTGTGGAAGGGACTGGACAAGTATTGAGACCTCTTTGTAGCACAACACAAAAATGGCAGGGGTTCTGTCCTTGAACACCACAAACACAAGACAAAACAAACAACACCTTGTGTGTGTGTATGTACACACACACACACACACACACACACACACACACACACACACGAGGATAAGCAATTCCTTGCATAAAACTACCCTTCATCGGTCTAGGGGTAAATCTCCTCGATCTGCCCTTCCCACACTTGCCGAGAGAGGTTAGCTGGTCCATCTCCCAGAGTGCAGACATTTAGCAACACCAACTGTGGGGATCCATCTTTTGCTTTGACACCAGAGCTCCATTTTCCAAAAAATAGGTCGGTACACACATATATCTATTTCAGATTTACCGGGAATCTCGCAAACACACAGTCCCTACAAGTGCCAGGTGCTGTTCGTTCTTCTCAGGAAACCTCGATGATCTCCATGCTGCCTGAAAAGCTAGGCTGACTGCCCACTTTCCCCAGTTCTTCCCGTGACCTGCTCTCCGACATGATGCCCTCTCCGAATTCCATCTGGCAGCTTCGGCGTTTAAACTGCTTCTCAAAGGGGCTCTCTTCGTGCCAGCTCCGCCGGGAGTCGGCTCTGTCACTTGGCTTTTGCCGCCTGCGCACAGAGAAGAGTTGGTCACTGCAAGTGGGCAGCTGGCTGCAGCTGTAGGCCGAGTAGCAGGTCTTGCCTCCATAGATGGCCGAGGCGGAGTAGAAGTGAGAGGGCTCTGTGGCAAAATACCAGCCGCTGGTCAAGGCAGGAGTAGAGGGCTGGGGAGCCAAGATATCGGAGTGCCAGCCCTTGAGGCCCAGCCCAGCGGCGGACTTAGCGAGGTGTTGCTGGCTGGTGGAAAGGCCAAAGAGGAAGTTGGCGTGGGAGTTGTCCTCCACGCTCCCACTCCGGTGCAGTGGGGAGCAGGCAGCCCTTTGGGAGGCACCGCTGCTGCTGGCTCTCACCGAGTGCAGGCGCTTGCTCTGGCTCTCTGAAGGCCTGGGTGCCTGGGGCTTCTTGAGGATGTTGGCGTCCTCCTTGTCTGGGCTGGTTTCTGGAGTCTGCTCCGAGACTTCCTGGACTGGGGAGAACTGGCAGAGTTTGCTGGTCCCATCCAAAGCACCGGGAGGCTTGTAGTACTCGAGAGCATCCTCCGAGGCGGCGAAGCCATGCAAGGATGCTGCCACGCTGGCGGAGTACGACACGGACTTGATATCCAGGGAGAAGGAACGCTTGAGCTTACTGCTGTCTTCCAGCTTGTCTGAGGACAGGTGGAGCCCATTGAGCGCCTGGACCAGCGCGCTGTCCTCCAGCAGGGCGGGCTGTATGCTGGGCAGACTGGCAGGCTGCACAGGCCTCTGTCCCGCTGCCTCCGAGGTAGCAGAGGGGGCACAGGGTGGACTGAGGGACCGCTCGCTCTTCTGTGCACCCTCTGAGACGGCAGGGACAGGCCTGAGTTTGCTTTTTGGCCCTGAGGCTCCAGTCTGCTTCTTAATCTTCATCTCATAGTCCAGGAGTTGGCCCAGAAAATTGAAGTTTGGAGAAATTGTAGGTCTTTTTTCTTTCACAAATCTATTGAAGAGAAGAAGAAAAACACAACATTTGAATGTTCAACCCATACTTTAGCTGAGGATAGATGAGTTAGGGAACTAGTAGAAAGAGCTCGCACATAACCTTTGGAGGACAGTTTGGTCTCCACCGGCAGGGAGATGGCTTATTGCTAAGACTACAGAGGAGCTCTGCAGTGGAGAGCTCTAGCCTGGGCTCCTGTGGCCGCCTCATTTTCAAGGACCAAAAGCTCTACTGCAGTTGAGAAGGGCAAGCCTGTCAGCAGGAGGCCAACTTCAATGTCCCATCACTGTGCGCTTTCCACGTCCCCCTAGGCACTTCCTCAAGAGAGCTCACACTTCAGGGATGGAGAACAAGGGAGCGGGCCAGAGTTCTGGAGCCGCCATCTCAGAGTCCCTTCTCTTTGGGCCCCGCTGCAGCCCGGTCTGTGTGCTAGCCTTCACAAGGACGCTCCTCGGACAGCACGAGCTCGGTGATCCACGCAACTGCGCAGGCAGGTGGCTGTAACCCTCCCCACCACACAGATCCGCACAGAGGGCCTTACAGCAACTGCCCACAGTCACACAGGTACTAAATGATGAGGCTGGGGGTCTCGGGGAGGAGATGAGCCAGTCAGGGTGCGATGTAACAATGATGAGAAATACAACCTTCCTCTAGTTCCTAAAGGTTTCCTTCCCGCTCCCACTACCATGACTCGAATTCTATTTTGCAAGACTGGCTAGACCAGAGGAGGTACACCGGTACAGATAGGAACCGAAAATACAGGGAATCCAGGATGGATGAGCCCTATAGGACCAGTGGTGTGAGTGGCAAAACAGGGAGGGTAAAGGGAGAATGGGTAGGAAAGAGGGAACCGATTACATGGAACTGTGTGTGACCTCCTCCCTGGGGGACAGACAACCGAAAAGTGGATGAAGGGAGACGTCGGACAGGGCAAGATATGACAAAATACCCATTTATAAACTATCAAGGGCTCATGTGGGAGGGGGGAGCGGGGAGGGAGGGGAAAAATGAGGACCTAATGTCGGGGGTTTAAATGGAGAGAAAATGTTTTGCGAAATGATGTACAAATACGCTTTACACAATTGATGTGTATATGGATTGGGATAACAGTTGTATGAGCCCCTAATAAAATGTTTAAAATAATAATAATAATTAAAAAAAATAAAATAAAATAAAAAATAACGTTGAGCTAAACAACTCAAAAAAAAAAATGATGAGGCTGGGCTCACACCTGGACTGGACTGGACCCCTTTGGGTGACTGGCCAAGAAACGAAGACTAACACTGCACAGCTAACATGAGGGCACAAAGGCTCTGAGAGGCAGACAGAGGAGGGCTAACTCTTCCGAATGGTGCAGTCAGGTTCAGGGACCACTGAAGAGTTAGCCCTCTGACTGCACCATTCCATTCGGAAGATCTCTCTGGAAGGAAGCTGCATTGTAAATTTGCATTTGAACAGGGGAGCCAGCGAAAAAGGAGGGGGGAAAAACCTTATAAATCAAGCAAAGCCCAGCAAGTCAACAAAACCTGAAAAAGAACTGGCTCAACTGTAACATTTTGAGAGAAAAGTCAAAGCGTCCTGACCGGTCCCACGTTTCTATTTTTGACCCGAGAGCCACTCACACGCACACTCACCTCATTTATCCCTCAAGACAAGCGGGGGCTCAGGTCCTGCCTGGAAACAACGCCCGGCCCTTCAGGGGCCTTGCCTGCCTGCCGTCTTGAGAACTGGTGTGGGCAGCCAGTCACCAACCAGCCCGGCCACCACACTGCCACCCAGCAGCACACGGAGCGCCTGCCCAGTCCAGTTCCACAGCAGACTGCCACCTCTTTTCCCGCAGAGTGGCTGGTGGGTTCAAACCACCGAGCTCCTAGTTAGTAGCAGAGCACTACCCACTGTGCCCTCAGGGCAGCTCCATGCACTACCAACCTGAAAAACACACGCATCGCTATCAAGTCAATGGCAGCTCATGGCTGTCCTGTAGGACAGGCGAGAACTGCCCTGCGGGCTTCTGAGAGTAAGTGCAGAGGAGTGGGAAGCCCTCTTTTCCCACCATACACCACCAGGGGCTGCAAAATCTGGCCAAGTCTAGAATGTGGGAAATTTCACTCAATGAGTGAACAGGGTGTGATGCTTATTGGACTAGGCTTTTCCCTCCTGGTGAGAGCTTGAAACCGTGGAAATGACCTCATGAGTATTCATGTCAATCAAAACAAATGACAGCCCCCGCCCGAGTCGAGGGAACAACTAAGGTCACAAAATGGGCAGCGATCACTGCCTGGACTTGTCTGTCCCTTAAACTTAAAACAGAAACACAGAAACCTAGCTGAGGAGGAATGTGGCACACATTTAGATAGAATTCATGCTCCCACCACTGCCGTCACATTGACTTCAACCCGCGTTGAGAGACTCTACGTGTGGCTCCAGGGCTATCTATCTTTTAAAAACTTATTTTATTATATGAGTTTTAATCATTTTATTGGGAGCTCCTACAGATATCATAACATTCCACAGTTCAATCGCATCCAACAGTGCTGTACAATTGCACATCTTTATATAAGAGTGGATAGTCTCATCTTTCTCCTTGTGAACAGCTGGTGGGTTTGAACCACTGACCTCGTGGTGAGCAATCCAAAGCTGACCACACAGCATCCCTAGGGCTCCTGAAAATCAAACATGCATTCTTCCCTCATCTTGGGGACACCACTTACAAATCCACAGTAGCCTACAGAGTGAGGTTAAAATGATCTCAATCTGCTTCAACCCGGTTATCAGCCCACAAGTATCCCCCCACCTTTCAGGTCAGATGAAAAGCCAGCCCCGGATCACACGAGCCCAGCCTCACCTGTAAGCTTCATCTAAGGACATACCCATCCTCTTCATGATGTAGGCAATGGCGATGGTGGCGGAGCGTGAGATCCCGGCCAAGCAGTGCACGAGCACACACCCGTTGGAGGCCTTTGCCTTTTCTGTAGGAGTCAAACCAAGAATGGGCATGCTTAACGCCAACTGTGTTCCACTTACTCAATGCCTTTCATCTGCACATCTCAGAAGAAAGCTCATCTGCATAGATCACAGTCATTCTACGGAGGAGGCTGGGAACATTCTCTCCCTATCACTACGGACAGGACAGCTGAGGGCCAGAAGGGTTCAACTCTCACTTTAGCACTTTACATGTGATATGTGTGTGTGTTTAATCTGCTTGGAACATGGTAAAATTCCTTTTATATGAATTAGTAACATAGCATGAGCTCCTATGAAAGAAGAAAATAAGGTGGAGACAGCGTTATCGTAGTATCTATTTTCTATTATCTCCCCTAAAATGTGGTCATTGTAATGATTTGAAGGACTCATGTTTCCTCATAAAAAGATCCCGAAATTGTAGTTTTGGCTAAGATTAGAGCCAAATGTTCTGCAGAATAATGTGACACACAATGGAAACATTAGCCACCATCATTATCTTTAAAGAGGTAAAAGCTGAATGAATAGTCCTCCACTGGACCTGGAGTCAGGGAAGCTCCAGAACAGAACAGGACGGTGAGTGGACTATCACGTATGGGGGGAGGGGGGGGTGTTCCTAACCATTTGCAGGACAGTTCCATCATCTTTGAATTCCATTTTGCCAGGAGCTTTTTGATGCCCCTGCTACGGTACAGATCAGACTGTGTATGTGACCCAATGTGCGTGTGAATTTGTGACTCTATTCAATTCAGTTATAAGACTGCTTGAACCTGGTGGCACCTGGACTGAGGTTGAGAAATGGCCTGGCGTAATGACTGGAAATGTGGTGGTTCTGGAGAAATCCTAGGTCAGCACAGCTGAAACTCACTGCCGTCAAGTTCATTCTGACTTGTCGCGTCCCTGGAGGACAGACGAGAAGTGCCCCTTGGGTCTCTGAGTTGTCTGTAACTCTTTATGGAAGCAGAAAAATGCCACCTTTCTCCCAGAAAACAGAGTAGAAGGCAAAAACAGTTTCAGGAATCCATCAACGTTTCTTAGTCTTTCATGAGGTTTGAAAAGGTCGGGTGGGAAATCCAGTTTCAAAGTTAAACTGATTTTCAGTTTGTACCTCATCACAGATCCTATCCGAACTTTACCGGATTCCACGCTGGTTAAATACACACACTGCGCAGTGCTAAGTTAGCTAGGATGCTATCGGGCCAGTCCCTGAGGGACTGCACAGTCCACACCTTTGATGACTAACGAAGAGAAGCAATATAAGGTTTTGGTTTTTTCCCATTCCAGATTTTTAGAATCTCTTCAATAGTGTCTTTTTCTCTAAAGATAAAAAGGGAAGCGCTTCCTTGGACAAGAGGAACTGTAATATTACTGGAGCCACTTACCAATAAAATCCACTGATCGGTCCAGCCAGGGCAAGATCTTCTCACAAAAGCTGTCATTCACAGGCACGCGCAGGAAATGAGACTCGGGGATGAAGTCCGGCTTTGGGCAGGTATTGCTGGCGTTCAGCACATAGCCAATCCCGTTCTGTTGCATCAGCTCCTACGGAGGGAAAAGGGATTCAGCTGACTAATAATACACTAATGTGATCATTTGGAAAGAAGAAAGCTTCATATGATGATAAAAGTGACCAAGTGCCGTGAAATAACCAGAGTTCATTCATTTCGTGAAATCTGAAAACCCAGCAGCAAAACCATTAAGAGGCTTAAGTTGAATGCACGTGACTATTAAAGGGCCAAAAAGGCTATTTGCAGTGCCATTCTTGAAGATCACACAGCATTTAGAGTACAGTCAGCCGTCCGTTCTTTTCATGATGAAAGAAATGGAACAAACAATATGAAAGACACCAAGACATTTTAGTGACTTTAGAATATGCACATGCACACACAATCAACCATCTTTTCACGCTGAACACAATGGTGGTTCTCTAAGATGCAGTGCTAGGCATTGTTCTCTCTGCTCCCTGTAGACAGACTCCATGTCCTTGGCTTTCATAGTAATAGCTACTCATATACAAGGGAGCTTCAAAAAGCTCTGGAAAAACTCTATTACCTTTTAATTCCATTTTCTAGGGACTTTTTGAATCCCCCCTTTATACACATACACCTATTTTTCTCTTAAATTCCCAACTTATGATGTGCAGTTCCTCCTGGACATGCTAGTGGGATGTCCACAGGGCCTTCAAACTCAAAACATCAGAAACCAAGTACTTTTCTCCCTTCCCTTCTTGTCCCCAAACTTCTGTTTCCTCTCTTTTACTCCCAAAATTAGTTGCCGGTGACAACACTCCTCTAGCCACTCAAGCTAGAAAACAGGATAATCAACTCCGTTCTCTCCCTCACAACCCCTCCAGGTGGCTGCCAAATCCTTTCCATTCCACCTCAGCGAGTAGACCCTTCTCACTCGCCCAGTCACTGCCCAGTGGTCAGCTCTCAAAGAGCCATGGAAGACCTCTCCGCCTATTGGTAGTCTTGCCCTTTCAATGTCATATTCCAAACCACTTCTAATCTTTTGATCAATAAAGCATGGGCTAAGTGCGCCAACCATATACCATCTTTAAAGCCCGTATTATCGAGTTTGCGGCTCCGGTTCCACACAGAGAATCACCAATCCTGCACCCTCGCAGGATGTCCAACTCTGGGGCACCTTTGCCAGCGCCGTTCCTGTGCCGACCACATCCCTGCTTTCTCCTCCCCGTGACTTCCGTAGCACTTTCTCTACTGCATGTAGAGCCGATGAACTGGTGGAAATTAACATTCCCGTTTCCATCCTTCCAAAGTGCTCTGCCCAAGCCACGAGGGCAGCACCACCCAGTGTCTTTTAATTCACGAACACTTCTTGGCTCCTCTCCCAGGTAGTGAAGTCATGACCATGACCTTGGATCAGGTCTGGTTTACTTTTCCACCTTCAGCACCAGGTATGAGGTTGCGTTCCATTGTCCGTTCAACTGACCCCCATCTACCACGTACCAGCAGGCATGCCTGCACACCCGGCTTTACTCGGTCAGCCCGTCAGCTCCCTCAGCTCTTCACTTGTGCCTCCCAAATGCTCCTGGCTGGTAAATACTCTCTATGTATCCAAAGGATGGCCGTAAGCAACTGGCTGGGTAGTAACACCCTCTCCCAACTCTGAGATGACTTTGACGTGAGTCGAGAAGAGGCTCTGAGGCTTCCTAGCCTGCCCAGCACTCATCAGCTGTGCCAGAGCCGGAGTCTGCTGATGCTCTCATTAGCGTCTGCTTAGTTAATAATCAGGCTATGGAAATTTCAATGGTGTTTACCACAACCTTTAAACTCCGGTACACAAAGCAAAGGTCACATCTGCTCTCCTATGGGTGAACCACAGCCACACTGAGTGTCAGCTGACCGGCCACAGGGTGTAGACGGTCAGTATCTCACACGGAAGAACACAAAGACACACTGCAGTTAAGACCGCGTTTTCTAGACTTTCTCGGGATGGCACTGGAAGACAGGAGCCATTTTCTGGTTCCCTTTCACACACCACTTCTCCCTCTTCATAAGCGATACCGCAAAGATTCATTAAGGTAAAAGTAAAGAAAGGTATTAATTCCCTCTGCATCCAATGCAAAAATGAAAGCAATGTGGGGGGTTCTGGGAGAAAGGCCAAGCGCTAACCGTGTGATTTACCATACGGAACCCGGTGCCCTCAAGTGCACTCTGACTCTCATAGCCCTCTATCGGGGCTCCAAGGCTTAAGTATTTACCGAAGTGGGTAGCCTCATCTTTCTCCTCCATGGTAGCTGGTGGGTTTGAACTGCTGGCTTTGCAGTTAGTGGTCCAATGCTTATCTGGCAGTGCTGCCGGCACTCCTTATTATCTACTACAGACAATCAAATCACAGCAGGCAATTCTCACTGAGGGCAAAATACATCCTATGTCCAAATGGTGACCGTCAAACCTGATTTCCCAATAGAAAGAATGAAACACTGTATGCTGACAAGAAGCTGGATCACCCGTGTTTTATAGAAACGAACACTTAGTGAGCCAAGATGACTTAATCAAAACTATTTGCTAGGCAACTGTAGTAAAGGACTTTTAATAATACGGTGATATTATGAAACGTTGGCATCTAGAAAGTAATGACTACTATGCGCCAGGAGAAGGAAGCCGACTAGCGCAATTGCTAAGCACTCACTATTAACTACGAAGCGGATGATTTAACCAACCAGTCGCTCCGCAGGAGAAGGAGGTGGGAGGCGGTCTGCTTCTAGAAAGGTATTTTACAGCTCTGGAAACCCTACAGGGCTGCCATACTTTGTTCGGTAGGGTTGCTACGAGTCAGAATCAACACTGCTAGGGGTCTGGGGAATGCCAAGAACTGTACTAAGTCTTTAAGTTGAAGGTCTCATCCAATCCTCAAAATCCCAAATTCCCTTTCACATGGGCACTACTACTACCCCAGGGCCCTGGTGGCCAGCTTTCTCCTCTGTCCTAAGGGTCGCTATGAGTCGAGTTTGGTTAGTTTATCATTACCCTCGTTTTACAAATAAAGTCAGAGAGGTTAATGTTGTCACTCAGATATGAAGTGGTGTGTCCAAGTATATATCTCTTCACAATCTACCCTCTTAATCACCAGATTCTAATAACTTTTCTTAAAATCCAGATGGAACAATGAAGTAACTAGTCTATAGATTCCTCCCCTTGATGCAGCTCTCATTAGGCATCACCCAAATTTTCAAAGTACGGGTCTGTTCTGATTTGGCTTCATTCACTAATGAACTGGTTGGAAATTATGGCTTATCTGTTCCTCTTCTCCCTCGACTGCAGTCATGGGCATCAGAGTGCTAGTCTTCCTGCCACTCCCACATCTAATCTGCCACGGCCATCCGCCAAGCCCGCATGGCCGGGAGTCACCGTGCCACTCAGGCTGCCGCTGCCATCCACCATCCCCGCACGCAAGGGGATGAGAAAGAGCCAGCTGGGATTTCGTTTGAGAAACCCAAAAGCCAAGCTCAAGCTTCCTCACTAAAAAAAGTGCCTTAAAAGATGCATTAAAATCACTTTAGTTAACCGGTAAATTACTTTAGTTAACCGGTAAACTCTACAAATCACACATTACTGTGTTGGATTGAATGGAATTATTCATGTTTTCTTATACAACAGATATTTTAAATACAAAACAAAATGAGAGAACATGGAATAACTTTAATAGTAAATGTGACTTATAAAAATCTTACTTTAAAAAAATCGATAATTTATTAAATTTCCAGCTGTTACCTGAAAAATTCTCTGTAGAGTAAGATGTGACTTGATAATACCTGGCCAGAGTTAAACACAGGAAAGTGCCTGATATTATTACCAGAGAAAATGTCAACGTCATTTGGCTCCAGACTTAAAGACCATGCTTAAGTGGGCCGGTAGTCACGGGGCTTACAGAAACAATACAATGCACACTTAAAGGATGCGATTGTAATCTAGATGCGCGTACATGTTCGTTTGCTAACTTTGGCCGCAGTACCATGGCTTTGATCAGTTGGCTAATGAGAGCCTTTAAACACATCCCCCATCCGCAGTGCATCATCAACCTCCGTGGTTCCCATTCCTTCAAGGGGAGTAAGAGCTTGGAAAGCAACATCAGCACAACATCTTTCTACGTTATCCCCACCACTCCCCACCCCACATACTTTTACCACTGTCTCACCCCAACCTAATCTGCCAGGTGGAAAAATCTACAGCAATTTGCCTTCCCTGAATTTTTCAAAATGTTTAACTGCAAGTCACAGAAAAAGAATTCTCTTCCCTCACTCCTATTTCATCAGCATATGTAATATTTAATTAGTGAACCTAATTTTCATGAAAAGCACACTGGTTTAAACAGGTTTTAGAACAAACAAACACACACAACTGATGCTTGGTAAGCAGACAACCCAAGTGGCCCAGGCAGAAGTGCTAAGCAAGTGGCCTGAAGCTAGCGAGGGGCAGGTGCTCACGTGCTGGGGCATCAGCCAGGCAGGCGTGTGTCAGGGAAACCCTTCAATTCATTAAGGAGGTTTCTACTGAACCTTCATCTAATTATGCTGTTGACTCGTTTTCTAGATTTGTTTTTCTTGACATTTCTTGAAACATACATATATTTGGTCTAGAGGGTATCTTAGGTCGATGTTTGTTGACAGTCAAACTGGGATGGAATCGCCATTACATAGAATGGGCCTGGCTGTTTTATAAAATAATGATTGTTCTTATTCACAAATGGATGTCAATTACAAAGAGACGTTTATGTCGTTCACTCAGGTTTGTCTCGGCGGCATGTTGTATAATCGTACACAGTGGCGTATTTGCTCTGTCCCATAATTCAACATCATAATCTTTAGACTTCTAGAGAGTGGTCATCGGAGGCTGTTTAATATTTACCTCAACTTTGTGCTAAGTCTGTTAAGATGTTTTCTACTGGGGAACTTAGCTTTCTCCTTTGGCCTTCAAGTACCTTCCTCTTGTCTCTGCCTACCATCCCCATGTCTGTCCTCCCAAATCAACAAGCAGTTCTACGTCAATCATTGCCATCACCCCTTACTTGACCGTAAT